TTTTTTTAACCAATAAATACATTTCATCAGTTTTTAAACTGCTGTGTGTATTCAAACAAATGTTCAGCACTAGTTGCTCTCATTCATTCTTTCCACTCTTTGTAAGAATTTAGGAGAATATGAAAATGTTACGAGGAAAAATTGGCAAATTTAGGAGAAAATGTAAAATATTGTGTGGAGAAACTTGCAAACCAAGAAATAAAACAGAAAAAAAATGAAAACTAAAATTAGAGGATGAAAAGGAAATTGATACGAAACCTTTCTAACATAAAAGCCGGCAAATTTATAAGGAGAATGTTTAAATGTATGAGAGATAGTAAAATTATGAGATTTGTTAAAATAAATTACACATTTATGAGGAAAATGGTCAGTTTACAAGAAAACCGACAATAATTTTATTAGAAGGAAAACAAAATCTGCAAATTTATGAGAATGAACTCAGAAATTCAAGAACAAAACAAACATTAGACACATGAAATAATTGGTTTTAAGAATATTTTTCATCTCTCTATTCTTCGCTCTTCCTCACCTGATTATTGTTCTCAATTATTAGTGAGTTATTTATTAATTTATCTATCTTTTCTGCTGCTGTTTGATGGTCTGCGCCCTGTCCTGTAAGAATAAACTCACTTCACTGCACCATTATTGGAGCTTCTGTGTTTTTTAGATCAGATGATAAAACAGCTGCAGTGGCTTTGAAACCCTGCACAAATCCTTCAGGGATTAAATGAATGATTTGACAGAAGCTGGTAATAACAGGATTTTAATATCTACGTACAGCCAGAGCCTTTAAAAATGATCTCTGGGAGCGAGCCGAGTGTTCTGGTTTCAGTCTGAAGAACATGTCCCTGAATGATTTAAACAAAGTTAGAACAGACCGATTTCTCACTATAAAGCAGTAAAGAGCTGGCTGGCTGCATAATTTACGGCCTAATGTAATTACACGTAATCCCTCCTCGTGTATACATTTTTCTCTACATTGACCGTTTCCCCCTCAGGGCCGCTGCGGGAGCTGTGAAATGATTTCCCGTGGTGTGTAACCGCCTCTAATGTCCTCTCCTTTCTCTGCTAATTAGCTCCAGTGTGAGGAGCCTCTGAGCGGAGCCTCCGTTACTGAAACCACAGCAGAGGTTTCTGTGAATCAACACGTTTTAGCCCATTTACTGCAAAGCAGCCGCACTTTGAATCTCTGCTGAGTTTCATAGCAGCGGCTTTCAGATTCATCTCGGTGCTCCCCAGCAGGTGCTGGTTTCACTCCACATCATTACGCTCTGAGAGTAAACTGCAGATAGATAATTCATCCCGTTTGATGGAAGATTTCACTTTAGCTTTATATCTCCTGGCTACGTGCGCGCTTTTAAATCTCTCCTCAAAATCCATTTTATAGATCGGCTCTGCTGCAAAGTTAGTTCACGTTTTATTTCCTCATTTTATTTTATTCATCCCGTCATCTCGCTTTCACGCGGACTTTTTCCAGAGGAGCTCATAAACACTTGTGTTATATATTTGAACGCAAAGAGTACACAAGGCATTCAGCTGCTGTGTCCTTATTCAGTTTAAAGCAATTCAAAGGCTCAAGAGCAAAACAGTTTGTTGTTCCAGTTGCCGAAAAATCAGCTTTGTCTTTCTAAGACTTGAGGTCACGGTAAAGGGATTCTAAGTGGTGGATGATCTGAGTGGACCACGAGCTCCTCTGTAGAGTCAGTGTGTCACTGTCCCACAGCTGAAGCTCGGACCACACCGAGTCATCAACAGGACAAAGATCCAAGCACAGCAGCAGGTCTGCAACAGAACGACTGAAGAAGAAAAGAACGGACCTGCTGCAGAGCTCAGAGAGCTGTGCATGAGCGGATGCAGCAAACCTCAACAAGCTGAAGCAACCAAAACTCCTCCACAGTGATGAGACAGACTAATAAAGTCACACGTGAACCATCGCTGCAGGTTATTGGTGCTGAAGGAGGTTCTACAAGCTGCAGAATAAAGTGGAACTCGTGCAGAATGAACTCGGTCTCAGTGAGTCTCCTGCTAGCAGCAGAAGGTAATTAACAGCGATGGCTCTGGATCTCATCAGAGCTGCTGAGGTCTGACACAGGACTCTCCTCCTCTGCTGGACCAGAAGATGCCGGCTCGACGCCAAAGCGAGCGCTCCGGGTGACCCGCTCCATCAGTTTATGACACAAGAATGTATATCAGCTAGAAACAGAGAGGGGAGGTGCACCTGCAAAATACTGAGACTTACTGAGGAGGAGGACAAAATATTAGAAGCTGGCAAAAAGTTGTTGATTTGATGTACTTTAAATTAAATTAGTAAATTACTCTGATGGACCTGTGGGTTACAGAACCCGAATCAAAGCCTAAGACATCGATATTTAATCTCCAGCCCGATGAAATCAGCTCGAGGCTGAAAAACATGAACGGTTTTCATTTTGACGACCAAGTGTGGAAAATACAAGAATATTTTTATGATAGTAACAGAACAAAGCACAAGGCAAAGAGGCAGTGGTGACCAGTGGGCTTAAGTTGCAGGTGGTTATGTCACAGGTCACTCTGATCCCTCTGGCAGGCCGACTGCAGATAACCTTTTGACCTTCACTGAAAGGAGGAGGAGGCGGCGGCGATGTGCTTCACCTTTCCTTTCTTAAAAACTTTTAATAATCTAAGTGGGTGGAAATGAGGGACCCCTCTCCCCGGTGGGGTGTAGCCTCTCGTCTCTGTCGCCTTCATATCTCCTTAGTTTCCTTATTTCGTCACATGCATCATCTTCTGTCCCCTGTGGTGGAGGCAGAATGAAGACGACAGCGTGCACAGATGCTGAGTTTAAAACAATCTATGTTTTACACCGTGAGAAGACCACGCCCCCCACGCTGAATAAAACCTCACACCGACCTTTAAGTCACCAAACTTTAAGCTGCCTTTGGCTTTTAATTAATCATACAGTGATGTGAACCCTGCTGCTTAAGATGCTCAAAGAGGATTCACTGACCAGCGCATCCGGATATGTGCAGGGCGGCGGAGGATGGAGGGCCAGGTGAAGGTGGAGGATCATAAACTCCTGGATCTGCATTGCTCACAGCAAATGAACGGCTCCACAAAGCTCTCAGCTTTCACACAGACTCAGCCAGGAGCCTTTAAGAAAGTTGGCCAGTAAAACAATGAAAACGTAATATGTTCAAGCTGTCAGACGAAGGTTGCAGTTCCTCTAATTGACATATTTTGTCAACACACAGTTGGTGTGGAGTGTCCACAATTCTATTCTATTCTATTCTATTCTATTCTATTCTATTCTATTCTATAGTCTGGTTCCTAGTGTGGATCAGCCCCCACAGACTCCCATGTTAAACTTTAGAGCATAAAAAACACATTTATAACCTGATAAAAAGAAGAAAGTCGGGCCTCCTGACTGGCGGGTGGATGGTGCCACATGTGCCACGTTTGGCATCCCTGAACCGGATCTATGGTCCAAGTTTCTGCGGTTAATGTAATTATGGGAGCAATAACGTCGGTGCTGTGCGGTTAATTGTACCAACAAAGAAGTTTGTGTCACACTGTTCTCGAACAACCCTTTAAAAACTCCCCTACGAGCTCACAGGTATGACAGATAAAATCCATCAAAGCCGTTTGATTTGTGTTTTCATCTTCAGCTGCTGCATCTTCTAAATACATTGATGCAGGTTTGAGGCGAATGACTTCATTTCAAAGTGAGTGTAACCATCCAAACCTGCTAAATGATGAATGAGTGGACAAAAGAAAAGAAATGTGCTAACTTATCGGCTCTTTCTCCCACTGCTGCTGGGTATTTAAAGATACATATACCCAGTCGACATGCATGAATATGTCTGTCCCTGCAGGATTTAAAAACTGGAGGCTCTGCCTCTTATTTACTGTCTGTACGTCCCCACCTGCACGGTTACAGTTTGTCTGCTTCCTGACCTTCTAATTAAGGATTTACTATCAACTATTAATCCACAAATTCAGCTTCATACGCACCGACACAACACATCTCTACTGTACACATTACATAAGGGAGCGTGATTAAAAGAGCACGAAAGCATCTCTGCAGTCCTCCGAGACAAGGATTTAGAAAGAACTGATGATGATGATGAAAGCGATGATCAGCTCTTTTAAGGTCAACACACAGATCAAAATATTTTAGATGTTCAAAAAAGAGAAGAAGAAGCAGGAGAGAGCGATGAGAGCAAAGAAGCACACGTCTTATAAAAGAGGTAAAAAAAAGCCTCAGCATGTCGTTCAGACACATGTGATTATAAACGAGAGCTGCCGGCAGGACTGTCCACCAAACGTGAGCAGAAACAAAGAAAAGCTGTTATGAGCCACTTTTGCCAGAAGGTGGAGCCAGACCTTCATCAGTCTGGAAGCATGAGCCCATATAATGAGAGTGACATTTATACTTGCACTTCTTTGTTTTTATTTACATGATTTATCT